GTGGGTGGATGGGTGGGTGGATGGATGGATGGATGGATGGGTGGATGGGTGAATAGGTGGATGGATAAATAATGATGCTCCTCTTTGCTTTATTTACATTTTCTTCCAGGAACTAGAATGTCGGCCTGCTGATACCTGATCTCAGTCCTCTACCCTCCAAAATGGCTCCATACATTCCATCCTTGCAAGGCACCCTGCTGGTCAACATTTGTTTACAGTCCCCCAGAAGGCTAATATACCCCATGACATCTTCAGTAAGGAATGTAACCATCCTGCTGCACAGCCAGGGAAGTTCTGAGGAGAGAGATGCTTCTGCAAGACTTGTCCCTGGGGCTGTTTTGGTTAGAAGCTTACATGGGGTCATTAGGGCCTTGCTGATTAAGAGTAGATAGACTTGGATTCAAATTCTAGCTGCCCCCTTTCTAAAGCACATGGACAAATGACTCAACCTCATGGGGCCTCAGTTTCTTCACATGTACAGAGGTAGCATGGCACTCCCTTGGGAGATACTGGGCTATTCCGAGGTGCATCTGCAGTCCTTGGAATGTGGAACTTGCTAAGGTTCCACCTGGTTCCTCCTGCCCTCAGCAAGCTGCTGCTGTTGCTAGGGGTGTCTGTGGGAAGCTATAAAGCTCAATGGCCTGAATAGGTTGAACTGTGGCTATGTCTTCCTAGTGCTAGGCTTTCCTGCTAAAGCAAAGGCTCAGCTGGTCAACTCAGTGGGAAAGTGCTTGCCTCACAAGCAAGAGAACCTGAGTTCAATCCCCGACACCCACATTAAAAAGCCATGTAGTGTGTGCTGGGGGAGGCAGAAACAGGAGGATCCCTGGAGTTCTCTAGCTAATAAGGTAAAGCTTGATGTGGTAATGCATGCCTTTTTTTTTTTAATAGACGTGACCTCCCTGTAGCTGCAGCTGGAACTCACTATGTAGACCAGGCTGGCCTCTGTGTGCACTCCACATAGGAGATGGAGAAAGACACTTGATATCACCCTCTGGCCTCTGCATGCTCACACACATGTGCATACACACAAACATGTATACATGCACACATGCACACACTACACACAAATAATTATAAAGCAAAAAGCATGCTTCTCTCCCAATGTGCCTTCCAAAACAGCTGGTCATTCCAAGACTCTGCTCCATTGTTGCCTGGAAAGCCAAAAGGAACAGAAAACCTTAAAACTCAGCCCTACCCTGGGCCTGCGTGGAACTTTCTAGAAGCACTGACTTTCAAACCAGCAGTACGGACTCTGTGGCTGTTCCTTCATCCTGAGAGTGCCTGTGTTCAGAACATTGCCTCGGTGTCCCTCCTACTTAGCTGTGAGGAGGGAACATCCTTCCCACTCAATTAAAAGGACATTTTTCCAATGAGCCTAGGTCATATTTCAAACTGGCTTGCCAAACTCCTCGGTACCAGGAGCCAGTAAAAGGGGGGCATTTAACACTGTATTTATTTTGACTGGCAAAACAGGTTATGGCTGTAAAGGAAAGAGCTCTTGGGAAGGAGCCGCCTGGCCGACTCGGGGCTCACTCTTTCTACCCACACACACGCTGTTTAAAGCATTCCAGAACCACTGCCAGCTTTGCTGGCACGGCTGTTATTTCTTTACATGCATGTTGCATTCCATCTGTTTAATGTGCGCTCTGTGCCATTCTCAGACTTCGGCAAGGCCTGGCAAGGTGGTACGGTGTGTGCTTAGGCTTGTTCTATGCCACACAGGGCACCAGGCTGAGTGAGTTTAAAGGGATGGAGTTCTGCCTTCCCTGGGTTCACAGGGGCCTGGAGTCACGAAGACAGGAGGGCAGCTCCCTGTGTCTCTCCAGATGTGGTTGAAGACCTTTTTTTGTTTTTTTCTTTTTTTGTGGTACAGGGAATCAAAGCCAGGGCCTCACACGCCAAACAAGTGCTTTGTGCTGAGCTCCACCCTCAGCCCTCCAGCTTCAGCTAAATCACACGTGTGCCACCCGTATACTTTATTATACCCAGAGAGTTTGGGGGGCACAGCTCTGCAACTTGATACATAGCCAGGAAAATAGACGGGAAGAGCGAAGGCAACATCAGGAAGACATTGCTCAGAAACACTCCAAGGCCTTGAATGCTGTGCCTGGTTCCTGGTGCCCAGAGAAAGGCCTAACCCCAACTTCAAGCTGTTCTGCACCACAAGGGCTTGGTTGGTGTAGCTGAAGCAACATGCTCTGATTCAGATCCAACTTAATACATTTGGAAGACAGGAAAACCAGGTTTTTAGGCACTGCCAAAACATCTGGTGATTTCAGTGTAAAAAACAACAACAGTAAGTTCAGTGGGGAGTGGGGTGCAGAGGGGAAGGCGAAAGAACCCTCTAGAAGTAGTTGTCGGGTATTGGGTGACCAGAAAACATTTTATGGATTGACTCAAACCTTCCATTTTCCTGCTACCCTAGAGGAGTGGATCCCATGAGGAAGGTGAAGTTAAGGATTCAGAGGAGAAAGGAGGATTTGGGCTTTGTAAACAAAACATGAGTGTTGAACACATCTCCTGAGTCCAGCCAAGGTTGCAAACAAAGGTCCCTGCTCTAAAGTGGAGTTACCTGGAACCAAAGGGGTGACACGGCACTGGGAGAAAAAAAACCCCGAGATCCTGGCTCCTAATGAGAAACAGCCGCGTGTGGAATAAAGTAAGTGTGAGTTGTGTAATCCCAGCTGGCCAGTTGTAAGAACAGGGAGGGGGAACATGCAGAGGGAACAGGCCCTGGAGCCTGTCCTGACCCTCTGGGTTGGAATTTCTGACTCTTCTCTGCCTTGACTCAGAATAGGAAACCGTACCCTGACCACGCGCTTCTTTTTATAGATTTAAACTTTCTTGCCAGCTTCCTCCAGAGCGCAAGATCATCCTGCGTTTCTAAACAATACGCCAGTCATCAGATATGGGTGAGGAGGGGAGGTGGGGGCACTGTTCTGGATGCTCCACACATAACCCAGTCCCAGAGCCCAAGACAAACATGGAGCCCCGCGTTTGGCTTCCGTACCAGACCCGGTAAATACATGTTCCTACAGGTTGGAAAACTGTCTGGCTCATCTTTGCATTTTCTCTCTTTCTCCCACTTCTAACTTGGATCTCAGCATTCTGCCTCGATATTGGCCAAGTTCACGTTTGCCAGTTGTCGAGTGGATAATGGATGGTTTGTGAGATTAGTAATCTGATGGGGAGACAGAGACAGCTGTGTGATAAAATGACTTCTGAGCCCCAATCTCCATGCAGCCTTGCAGGCCAGTCACGTGCCGAAGGACAATGGGAACAAGGACTTAATCCCTGGTCCTAGACTGTGTGAGTTGCTCTGATAACCACTCGAAGGAGCCCCTGTACCCTGCAATCAGTTTGGGTCATTTCTCGCTTGTAAGGTATACTGGAGTTTGTGAGCCCAAAGGGGACAAAAACAGAGTGTGAAGTGTCTGTTAGTCCCTCATTAAAAATGGATTTTGTTTTCAGTGCTTTGAGGCTGGGAACAGCGAAGTTGGAGGAGGTCTGCTGCCAAAATCTAACAGCTTTACGGGAGATCCAGTTTTAGGTTTACAGTTCCACATTCTGGCTCCTTGTAATTGCGTCTCAACGTTGCCAGGACGTGTCATAAACTACAGAATTTGTACAAAAATATACTGACATAATGACTCTGTGTAGCCTGAAGTCAAGTGGGTAGGGTGGGGGTGCAGTCTGTCCCCATCAGCATGGCTCCCTAGGGTCACCTGGGACAATTACCATTCCTGAAATTGTGACCCCAGTCAAACCAGTTTTCCAGAGCTGCTTGGAACTTGGTGTTAAAGGGCTCAGGAAGCCACCTTGCCTTGTCCGCAGGCCACAGGTGGTAAGTGGCTCTACCTGGTCACAAGGCTCAACCTCTTCTAGAACATTCCAACTGGGTTCTAGAAGAAAGTCCTCCAGGTCCTGCTGGTCATTCTCAGCTCCAATTATTCTTCACACAGACAAAACCTCTTCTTTTGGCTTTGCCAAAAGCTGGACAGGTTCCCTTCTCCCTTTGAACCTCTGTGTGGTGTGTGTGTGTGTGTGTGTGTGTGTGTGTGTGTATTTCCTCAGGAGCCATCCACCTTTTATTGAGACAAGGTCTCTCTCTGGCCTGGAACTCACTAAGATGGCTAGGCTGGGACTGGTGTACTTACATACATGCAGGCAATACACTCATACATATAAAATAATAAATAAATAAATAAATAAGTTTAAAAAGGCTAGGCTGGGGGCTGGAGAGATGGCTCAGAGATTAAGAACACTGTTCTTTCAGAAGACCCGGGTTTGAATCCCAGCACCCACATGGCAGCTAACAACTGTCTGTAACTCCAGTTCCAGGGGATCTGACAGCCTCTTCTGTCCTCCTGGGCATTGCATGATACAGGTGCACTTACCTACATGCAGGCAATACACGCATACACATGAAATAAAAAATAATAATTAAAATATTAAAAAAAAAAAAGGCTAAGCTGGCTGGCTAGAGAGTCCCAGTGATCCTCCTGTTTATACTGCCCAGGCACTGTGATTACAAGTGCTCACCTCTATTCCCAGCTTTTTATGTGGGTTCTGGGGATTGCTCTCAGGCCCCAATGCTTGCCCAGCAATCAGTTTATCTAGTAGGCTATCACCCCAGCCTGCCTCTGAGCCTTCGTTTATACTGTTCCCTCAGCCAGGAACCATCTTCTTGTGGCTATTTTGTGCTATCCATGGAGAACTCAGTTTTTAGGCTGATTTGTCATGGAAGCCTTCCCTGGCCCCTGGGACTGACTTTCCTGACAGCATTTATCAAAATTGTCACTTAAAACTTCTGTTTCACGTCAAATGAGACCAGCACGTTCTCATACCATATAATGTGTGCATGGATCCCATGGGGCTCATGTTTAAATACAAGTTCAGATTTAGTAGGTCTGGGGCCAGGCCTGGGATACTCTATTTGTTTTTTTATTATTATTATTTTACTACTTTATTTTATGTGTATGAGTGTATTGCCTGCATGTATGTAAATGCACCCATGTCATATAATGCCTGAGGAAGTCAGAAGAGGGCGTAGGATTCCCTGGAACTGGAGTTACAGACAATTTGTTAGCTGCCATGAGGGTGCTGGGAATCCAACCTGGGTCCTCTGCAAGTGGTCAGTGCTCTTACCCACCGAGCCAACTCTCCAGCCCAGGGTGCTATATTTCTAAACAGCTTTCCAGTGCTGCTGATGGTGCTGTCTGTGGATCCTACACTCTGAGTAGCAGTGGCTGTGACCTAATCTCAGTCAGAGCTTGGTAGAAGGACAAAGCCTGGCAGAAAAGAGTTGAGCTACTGTTCCCTCAGTTCTCCTGGGGTGGGTGTGTAGGGGGAGTGCAGCTAGGAGGAACCTTTCCCAGGGAGTGGGTCATCACATGCTCTAGAGGCCTCAGGGCAGGGCTGCTGGACCTTGCAGCTGCCGACCTTTGTGCTGAATAGTTCATGGTGGTGACTGGCCTGTGCATGTGATGTTCATTATGGTCTCTGGCCCCTCTATCTTCATGCCAGTGTGTAATTAGACAGAAGGAGCCCCATCCTTTAGCTGTGACAGACAAAAATATCTCCAGGCATTGTCCAAATCCCCTGGGGTGCAATATTGCCCCTGGTTGAGATATAGTGCCCCAGGACATTAGGCCATCACTCTTTGATGGTACAGAATGGAGAAGGATTTGGGAGATCTATGATAGTGTGTTGCCAGAGTCAGAAATACAGCTTGGTGGACAGAATATTTGCCTAGCATGGACAAAGCTCTGGGCTCGATACCCAGCACTACAAGAATGAGTGTGGTATAATCCCAGCACTTGGGAGATGGAGGGAGGAGAATCAGGAGTTCAAGGCTAGCCTTAGCTATGCAGTACGTTCATGGCCTGCCTTGACTGCTTGAAACTTTGTCTCAAAAAAAAAAAAAAAAAAGGTGCATTCCTGTTGACCTCAGTCCCCTGTGCATTTAGCAGGTCCTCAGAACGCTTGTTGATGGATAAATGCGCAAATGAATCGATGAAGAAAAGCCATGTTTGGCTGGTGGGAAAGGAGAATCCCCCTCACAAGTCCAGCCTTCTCTGTTCCACTCCCCGACAAAGAACCAGAAAACCTTAGTGCGCAAGTTGTCATCAAAGGCATAATTTTTCTAAATGTAGAGTTTTCTAGAGAAAATATTCTTTCGGGGGGGGGATGAAGAGAGATTCTCGCTTGAGATTTTTTTTTTTAATGTCTCCAGTGACTAAAATTGTCTTACAGCATCTAAGGACTGCATTTGCTTAAAGGAAAAAAACAGGGGTGGGGGGGAAGGACCCACCATTTAGTCTCTAGCATAAAAAGTATTTGGAAATCAGAACTCCCAATCTCATCTTACTGGGAAAATTACAAAATGGTAGAATTAATTTTGTGCATTAAAAAAATATCCTGCCTCAGGTGAAGGCCTCACAGATAAAGTGGTATCAGGACCTTAACTGAAACAAACAAACAAACAAAAAGCCATTAAGGAAGAAAACTGGGAATTCAAGGAGAAAAACCCAGTACTTGTAAGGTTTTGCTTTGTTTGTATTGTTGGGGTGGGGGGAGTAATGGTTAGTGTGCCCCCAACACTCACGGTGGAATTAATTATCACTGTGATAGCAATGGGAGGTGGCACTTTTTTGTGTCTTATTCCATTGTGGGGGTGGGGTAGGGTATCACACAGCTGAAGATGACCTTGAATTCCTGATTCTCCTGTCTACATTTCTGGAGTGCCAGAATTCCAGGTGGGATTTTAAGAAACATTTCGGTAAGCCTGGTATGGTGCCTCACACCTTTAATCTCTGTACCCAGGAGGTAGAGGCCTGTGAATCTCTGTGAAATTAAGGCTAATCTGGTCCTACAGGAAAACCTAAGTCCTAAGAGTGGTTTAGTTTTGACTTTGGTGGCCAGGAGACCTGTGTGTCTCACGGGCTTGTTCCCTTATTCTTGATGCCCCCTTGCCATGCTGTGATGAAGGCCTAGTCCTTGGGAGATGCTGCCTCCTTGGTATTAGACTTCCCAGCCTCGAGAACTGTTAAGAAGGACATCTCTGTTTTTTAAAAACTACCCAGCCTCAGGTATTCTGTTTTAGCAGTCAAAACTGGTCTAAGTCAGAAGTACCTTATCTAGTTTCAAGAGGAAAATTACAAATAAATGAAAATAATCAGGAGCTGGGGAGATGGCTCAGTCAGTGAAGTGTTTGCTACATGTGTATGAAGATCAGGGTTTGGATTCCTAGCACTCATGTAAAAAGCCCAATGCTGCAAGTGGCATCTGTAATTCCAGCACTGGGGAGGCTCTCTGGAGCCCCCTGGACAGCAAGCCTAGCCAAATGGGTGAGTGCCAGGTTCCATGGAAGACCCCTTTAAAAAATGATGGTGGAAACCAGGCATGGTGGCACACACCTTTAATCTCAGTCCTGGGTAGACAGTCAAGTGGATCTCTGTGAGTTCCCAGGCCAGCCTGATTTACAAAGCAACTTCCAGGTCAGCCATGGCTACAATGAGACCATGTCTCAAACAAAACAAAACAATAAAGAAAACACCGGATGTTTATCTGTCTTCCACCAGCACATGCACATGTCCTACATGTGCATACAGTAAGTAAGTGAGTAGATAGCCTGGTGTGATGGCATACCTCCTAAATCTTCCAACTTGGGAGACAGAGGTAAAAGAATCAGAAGTTCAAGGTCATTCCCATTTACAAAGTGAGTTGAAGGCCAGGCTGGGCTACGTGAGACCTGACCTCAAAAACAAAAACAGCAAAATCTCCACCCAAATGAATTAAAATCTACACTTTGCTTTAAAACTATGAACTTGAATTCTAGTTTTAAAAATGATGAGTTCACTCATTTCCACACATTCGGCAACTTGGAGACAAATCTCCAGGTAGAAAGTAAAGCTGACTTCTCCCTGTTCTCTTCCAAACGGGCAGATGGAATCTCAAATTGTCAGGGAAATTGAATAGGATTTAGAACATGGAAGCAGTTTCTGGAAAAGGATACAGGAACGGTGAACTTTCAGTGTTTTTTAACAGTGTGTGTGTGTGTGTGTGTGTGTGTGTGTGTGTGTGTGTGTGTATGTGTGTGTGTGTGTGTGTGTGCATGTGCGTGCGTGCATGCATGCGTGCCTGTCTGTCTGTCTTCGTGTGTGTAGGACAGAGGACAGCTTGTAGAAGCTGGTTCTCTCCTTCTACCATGTGGGTCATGAAGATTGAACTCAGGTCATCAGACTTAGTAGCAGTCACCCTTACCTTCTGAGCCATCTCACTGGCCCTCAATGCACTTTTAAGGGTCGGGAGTACAGTTCAGTGGTAGG